GATTACCTCGGAAACAGCGTCAGCATGAATCTTCCAGTAAAGCAAATTGACAGCTGGTTAAGAGGAATCTGCCGTCGTCTTCTGCTGGAACCGACCTTCAAGTCTTTTCATCCAACAAATTACATGACCTGATTCGAACCAAAACCAGGATTTGGTAAGCCTCGTTTTCTTAAATTACAGAATATGGCAGATCTCGGCATGGTAAGAAATTAAGGAATTTGGGCATTAAAATCGATTCAATGAATAGTGTCTATTATTAATAAGCGTAATGCTATTTTATAGTTATAATAAGGTCATTGATTTATTCAGCATAAGTATAAATGATAGGTTTAAGTTCCTCTTGGAACAAGAATTATTTAATGGACATCCTAAAAAAATTAACTAACTTGACAGACAAGTTACCAGAAGAGGTTTATAATAGTATAGAACGAGAAGTGATTCCTCATTTGGAATAGGCAATTATTCCTAATAAATTGTATGCATTGAATTAGATTTCTAGATATTTGCGCAAAGATGATCTTTTTCTTTTGAATGCAAGAAAGCGTGGTGCAGTAGTCGTCATGCATAGGTCGATTTAAATAGAAAAAATGATGATCCATTTAAATGACTCAGAAACATACAAACCTTTAATGAAGGATGCTTCATAGAATAGGTAAGACTGACATTGAAGCCGTTGGCTAGATATGTGGACGATTATTTTGGCCTATGGCAGCATCGTGAGGATTGTGTATGTAGCTTTATATAATTCGTTGCAATCGCTACAGTAAATCACATGCGATCCATTTATGTGTAAGCTTGTGAGGATTTGGGTTCCTTTTATGAATGTACAATTATTCCATCTAATTAAGAGTGGCCGCAACTTCCAGGCCAGTGCCCAGGATGGTTGACACCTAAACCTTTATAAATGCCTTATTTTTATTTCATAATCAAAATTTTTACATTCGACCATTTCGAACCCCATAATTCTTTGTATAAATTGCATACAATATTCACTCCTAAGGAACACCCTAGTTAATTTTCATAATTCCTTCTAGAATTCCATGTCTGCTAATCTTAGGCTACTTATGCTTATATACCTCATTATACCGATCTTTTGTCCGTAGTTATGGTGAGATGCAAAACTGAATTATTCCGGTGTGCGATTTACTTAGAAATAACTATCTCGTGTTTAATGTTCTATAGCAGCACTCAAAAATTCAGGAATGATTATGGTCTTGGCTCGACCTTGTTTTCGTAACTTGGTCGGAGTATCAGGGAGACCTTGTGGAATGTACCTAGTCCTGTGTCCTCTGCCATAGTATTCGTGATTTCAAGCACTGGACAATTGTTTGGGTAAAATTCAAAATATTTCGCCGGCATCGTCAGTGAGAGGCGCCATCGTAAGCCGAGAGTTACAACTTATCAAAGTGGCAAGTAAAGGCAATTCCCTTGACAAATTTTCTGTTCATCCGTTGTGGCCTCACTCCTTGTCTCTATTTTGTGTTTTACCTTCTATTGCTTCATCTCTTTCTTTCAACTCCACTTCATATGGCCCATTTACCTATTCACACAATTCTTTGTTCTCGTTCCCTCTAATGTCACCTAAGAGTGTGTCGCTGCAAGTAGGTTTAATGAAGCGTAATCATCACCATCGGTACCAGATGCCGTTTCCAAGATTCCTGGCCTACATTCTGCCCCCCTTTTTTTCATACTTGCTTGTCAACTAGCTGTTGCTAAATCTTAAAATCACTTTTTGGCTGTCTGAAATCTGGCTGCTTAAAAACCTTCCATTCCCATCCTCGATTACGCCATATTCGAGTAGTTAGAGAATATGATGCACATGTCAGTGCCTAGGAATCTTCCTCTCCCTAGGCTTCAAACCCGTAGCTCAAATATAATCTCCTTCATCCCCATCCACATTGTGTCTCATTCTTTGTAGCCCTTTGTCCGACTTAAGTCATAACCGTTGGTGTGAGAATACACCGCTTCCCATTTTTCCCTTGAATCGCGAAAAGCACACTCTTATCCCTCAAGTTGACATCCCCATCTAACCCTAGGTTACTGGGATAATGTCCCTATGTGTAGCTTCTCATCAGTCACCTCTTCCGACGCAGACACGGAAATTACACATGACACTCACGCACACATATTTGTGATCCTTATCTATCCCACCTATTTTTTAGTCTTTAATTTCATGTCCTACATCTTGCAGGTGAACCCCCTGTTTATATTTTTGGTCAATTCCATGTCTGACTCCTCTCATTGTAGGGGCGAGGAATGATGCCACAACGGTTAAACAGAAAATTGGTCATAGAATGCCTTCACTTGTCACTTTGATAAGTTGTAAATCTGTGCTTACGATGGCGCCTCTCATTGACGATGCCGGCGAAACGTTTGGGAATGTACCCAGCCAATGGTCTAATGCTGGAAATCACGAATACTATGACAGAGCACACGGGACAAGGTACGTTCCACAAAGTCTCTCTGACGCTCCCACTAAGTTGCGAAAGCAGGGTCGAACCAACACTATAAAGCTAAGGCGACTGTAAAGAAACCGAAAGCCACACCATCTTGGTCTTTATATCTATGATTATAGCCCGTTACGGATTTCACCTCTGATCAATCTGAATGAGCGAATCTCCAGAGGTTACGTTTCCCTAATATAATTTGAAGAGATGCACTATAGGGCGACATTGGAACAGACTAATAGAGGGGGGTTTAGGTGAGCAAATTAATTATACGAAGTGGGGTTGAGGAATGAGGATACAACGCCAGGAGCTAGGACAAATGCAAGGTAAGCTGCCACGGTTTGAACATAAAATTATTATAGGGGATTACTGTATGCGCTCATCATTGGTCATTTGGTTTTGTTACTGAAAATTTTTCTCTACTTATAAGACAGGTTATTTTTATTTTAACGTAGATATGAAGACCAAGATGTTGTGGCCTCAGTCTACTTTAGATTTATGTAACTAGCCTTAACTCTTTTTC